TCCCCCCGGGGGGGAGGGGGGCACACACCCTGTTTTTAAGCGATTTTTTCAACCCAACACAGGCAGTCAGGTGGTTAGTATCATGGTGGCGCCTAGACGCCAGCTGAGATCGAGTCCCCTAGCGGGAGATGCTGTATAAACTCACAAAGGTCGGACTGAGCAAAGGCCCTGCTGGGTGCCTGAATCACTGTGTACCCAGCCATGGTAACAGAATCCAAGCCCCCTCTGACCACATGTGTTGATCAAAAGAGACAGGCAGAGCAGATGGGGAAACTGAGGCACAGAGTCCTGCCCAGAGCCACACAGAGCCAGGAAAAGAACCTCTCCGCTAATATACAACGTTCAGTGTGAAGCAGCCAGGCGCAGCTTTGCATGGGCACCGTGGCTTGGAGGGCAATGCTGAGTGCAAAGGGGGAAGGGGGTGTCGATTTCCTCTGCGCTGCAGCACTTGTTCAGTTACGTGTGTACTGCGGGCGACTGTTGCTTGTACCAGTTTGCTTTTCGATGGCTGCTGGGAGAGCAACGCCCTTTTCTGCTTCTCAAATACCTAACTAAACTACTCAGATCGAGATGCACCTTCAACGCAGATGGCTCTGGCTTGTTGGGAATTTCATTCTGCGAGGCATCTTTCCTGCAAATTGGTTCCAGAAATTTTCAGTCATTGTGCTGAACTAAATTAGAGGGGCGAGAAGAATTAAGAGGAATACGGGCCAAGGAGGGGAAGGGGATATTTATACCTGGGATTAAAAGAGATGCTAGGAGGCCAGAGATACAGAAAAGTCTGCCCCCAGTGGCAGGAGTGGAGGAGCAAGACGCATGCAAGGGGAGCAGACAGGCAGAGAAGCAAGGGATGGAAGAGGCAGGCAGGACTAAGAGCAAGACACCCCCCTCGCCACCCTCCCACAGTAGGGCTTATGCAACTCCACACAAGAGGCAGTTTTGACCTGGGTCCTAGAATGAACCAGCAGACTCGGTGGCAGAGATGCCTGTTTTAGTGGGTCTCCATGGGCCAGGACTCCCGAGGGCCCCGGTTAGGGGAGCAGAGGCGTGGATGAGGATTTCCGCAGGTGGAGGGGGCCACAGGAAGGGGGGTGGGATGGGCAGAGGAGCTGAGGGAGCCAATGGAAGGAAGCAGAAAACAGGTGTGTGGGGCAGGAGTCTGAGAAAAACAAAGGCTTGAATTAACCCTTTGAACACCGACGGCTCCCTGTGACTTTGGAAAGCGCTTTGGAGGCTTCTGGAATGGAAAAGGTGCAACATAAATCCACTGTCTAAAGCAGATGCCCTGTCCTCAGTCTTGGAGTCCCAGACATTGCCCCCCTGCCCATTGCACTACCCTGTAATTACTCAGGCTGGAGTCTGAAGTGCTAGGCCAGGCATGTCCAAAGTCCGGCCCGCGGGCCAATTGTGGCCTGTGTTCCGGTTTAATATGGCCCCACAGGTAATTTGGCAATATCTATCTTTTATGGCCCCCAACTAATCCATATGTATTGAGATGAATACATTGTAAAATCTCAGTTAATGTCAGTTGGTCTAAATCAGTTATAAATATATTTGGACACAACATGTATACTTGGTGTTATGTTCCTGTTCATATTTTTTGAACTTAAAAGTTGACAGACAACCTTTATTACCAATAATATGTAATGTACTTTACAATGTTCCTGACATATATTTCAGCTTCCTGGATTTTTTTTTCATCTGGCCTTCAGATATGAAAGGCAGAGTGATTTAACACCTGTTTAGATTTGTCATCCATGTGACGAAATGAAAAGTATGCCGTTTGCAATAAACTTTGCATAAAATAGTTAATTTGCATTTAATTTTAATGGTTCAAAGAATGTCAGGCAAAATGGTCGGCCCTCACGCATGTTCACTTCATCAAATCTGGCCCTCTTTGAAAAAAGTTTGGACACCCCTGGTATATAGCATTCCTTTGTATCAGGGAAGATCTAGAATTCAGAATGACCTTAGAAAAATCAATTAGCTGAATGTGATGAGATAAAGAATTCTCACTTTCCTCTGTTTATAGCATGTTCCTCCTCTAGATAGTCTTGAATGGAAAAACAATGTGGAACAACTTGGTATTCACATGTTCTTAGAGCTTTACAAAAATCTTCAGCATTATTCAGCAATCAAGTATAGCCGCCAACAATATCTTAATACTAGACAGTTTGGTACTTGAATACTAAAGTGAGTAACAGACCATAGATGTTGCATCTCATCTGTGTTTTTACAGTAAATAAAGCATGTATATCTTTAATCTGTCACTCTCCTCTTTACACTATATTAACATTTTCCCTTGTCTTCTATAAATCTAAGTCCAATAGAACTGTCAACCCTTTCTAAGGATTATTTTGAAGATGGACAGCTCTGACATTATGAATTAATTTTTTTTTATCAGCTTGTTTATCCAGTAAAACAAAAAATTGTTTATATTAGCATTGAAACAAGCTATGTTAGAATCAAAACCCTGCTGGAAAATATACATAATCCAATTCAGTCCCTACATTTTTCAGAATTAAAAAAACTTAAAATTAGTCTCAGCTGGAAATTGCTGCTCTCAGAATCTCTAAATGTTGTTGGTCAGGACTTCATAGACACTAGAGAACCTGACATTAGCTTCCCAATGCTAATCTTTGCTCCATGATACTATGAGCTAGATGAATAATTTTAAAATGCTCTGTGAACGTTCACGTGAAATATTAAATGAATTCACTATATATATTTTTTCAATAGGATATATATATATATCCCATTGAATATTTACACAAGGGAAACAGTCCAATTTACTAGCACAAAATCCACAGAAAGTGAATTTCAAAGCAAGGTTCAATTGGAAATGAGTGCGCATTTTTTTTGCTCCTAATTAATGCAAATATGGCATTTGCTCCCATATGTAAGCCTTGCCCTCAGTTGCACCTATTCAGTGTCCATTTGCTTGGTTGCCCACTTATAACTGAGGGCAGAATTTGAACCAGCCTGCTGCCATATATAGGAGTGATCTAGTGGCCTCTCTCTTCAGTGGGAACAGAATTGGGTTGCCAGATCCGGCTCCTCATCATCACTATTCATGGGAAATACAGGTGTCTGTTAAGCTAGCTATGAATACTCCAGTCGCTCGGGGATCCACCCAGTCCCCCCTGTCGTAGTCCAGGAGGTCTCCGACCGTGGTGGTTTCTGCCAGGATCAGCCTCCGGCGCACCGAGGGAGACTCCGCCACCTGCACGCACAAGGCTGGATTGTGGAGCAGGGGCTCCGCGAGGAGGTCTGCCCCCTCGGAGGCCACAACGGACCTGGTCGCCGAGAACAGCTTCCAGGTCTGGAGGAGGTCCTGGTAGAATTCCGGCAGCTCTGAGAGGTCTCGCGGAAGACCCCTCGGGTGGATAAAAAAGAGCTGCCGGTCGTATCGGAGCCCTCGGAGGCGGCGGAGGAAAGCGCGCGCCAAGGTGCTCCATGCCGGACTACCTGCACTGAAGAGGAGTCTCTGCAGGGCCTGGAGGCGGAAGGTCCGGACCTGGCTGCGTATGCAGACCAGGCCCTGACCCCCCTCCTCCAGGGGGAGGGACAGGACCCCTGCAGAGACCCAGTGCAGTCCTGGCCAAAAGAACCCCAAAGCTGCCCTCTGGAGCTTGGCCAGGACCTCCGGGGCCGGGCGCAGGGTGTTGAGCCGGTGCCAGAGCATGGACAGGACCAGCTGATTGAGTACCAGCGCTCTCCCGCGAAGGGAGAGACACCGGAGCAGTCCCGTCCATCTCCGCAGCCGCTCACCCACCCTGGCACTTTAGTTGCCCCTCCACCCACTGCCATGCGGCTGCTGCCTCCTGGGAGCCTCCTGCTTGCTGTGCGGAGTGTGGGAGGGAGAAGGGGGGGGTGCTGATGTCAGGGTGTTCCTTCCATCCCCCCCCCCATACCCTATCTCCACACAGAGAGAAGGGGATGGCGGGAGCGTGGCAATGCCGATCTGTCTGAACACAATGTATGAGTCTGTCATTCTCTCTCTCTTTCTCTCACACAGCTCCCGACCCAACACCTACGTGGGGTGGTTGTTACTTGTTTTACTGCTTGCAAAGGGGGTTACAGTTTGGGGTTGTGACTGGTCTGTGCAGTTCATCATTTTCATTTCTCTTACGCCTAAATTTAATTCTTTGAGTCGCGAGTTCTTAAATGCCCAACCTGTCGTGGCTGGAGTCATTATCCCTGTGGTAACAGCTGCTCCTGGAGGTGGCTGGCATGTCCCTGCAGCCCCTGAGAAAGGCAGAGCGGGGGGAGGGGGGGTCTCCACATGCTGTCCTTGCCTGCAGACACTGCTCCTGCAGCTCCCAGTGATAAATAGTGGGGAACCGTGGCCAGCAGAAGCTGTGGGCTCTGTGCCAGTGGATGAGGGGCAGCACATGGCCCCATGGAACTGCTGCTGTACATGCCAGCTGCTTTCAGGAGCGGTGCAGGGCCAGGGCAGGAATAAACCTGCTTTAACCCCACTGCGCCACCACTCGGAATCCGTCTCAGTTAAACAGTGCCCAGCCAGAGCCTGCTTCCTGAACCCGTCCCAGCCTGGAGAAAGTGAGCAAGGACAGGGCCTCGGAGAAGGGGAGGAAGGAAGCCAGGCAAGGGTATCTTGGTGTGAGGTAGATCTTACATTGCACTTCAATTGAAAAAGTGACCTTGTGGTTAAAAAGGCTGGAGACCACTGAGCTAGGAGAAGTCGCTGCAGTATAATTCAGCAGCGGGAAAATACCAGCAAGCGATGGACTGGACAAGAGAAAGCAGCCAAGCTGGGATCAGGACTGCTTGT